CTAATAGCAGATCTAGCTCATTGCCCTTTTCCTTTTGTCTGCAGGACAATAAGGTCAATGGTGTGACTTGCTGTACACGGATGCTGGGCTGCACGTACTTGCATCCTTGGATCCTGCCCAAACCACACGTGAATTCCATTCCGCTGACTGTTCAAGATGAGCTGCTACTGATAGGGAACAAAGCTCTCTGGGAACACCTCTCGTACACGGAGGCTATCTTGGCTGTGCGCCACCTGCATGACCCGCTAGCTGCTGCAAAGAAACTCTGCACTTTAGCCCAAAGCTATGGTTGCCAAGACAATGTAGGTGCAATGGTGGTGTGTCTGAACATCAGTGAGGACAGCTGCACATGTGAGATGCATGGCCTCACACTGCCAGGTCCTGGGGGATTTAGCTCCACCACGAAGCCAGCAACACCTTCATCCAGCAGTGGAATTGCTTCAGAGTTCAGCAGTGAACTGTCTGCTTCTGAGGTTAGCAGTGAGGTAGGCTCTACTGCTTCAGATGAACACAACGCTGTTAATCTTGATAGTGGTTTGCTACCACGGCAAGAGCGGCGTTGCAGTCTGCATCCTGTGCCTCCCTCAAGCATCTTCCAGCGCCAGCCTTCCAGTGCCACCTTCTCTAGCAACCAGTCTGACAATGGTCTGGATAGTGATGATGAGCAGCCTGTGGAAGGTGTGATGACAAATGGTAGTAAAGTGGAGGTAGAGGTTGACATTCACTGCTGTAAAGGAAGTGGTCTGGAGTTAGAACCTCTTGCTGCAGAGTACAGCTCCTCTACTCCAGTGCCAGAGGATGACTCTGGGCTTGTCCTTGTCATTCGGAGACAGAACAGTGTGAACACTGTGCAGAGAGGGGTAAGGGAGAAGTGTGAACTGCAAAAATCTCTTTCCACATGCTGTCTGTATGGAAAGAAGCTTTCCAATGGTTCCATAGTGCCCTTGGAGGAGAGCCTCAACCTCATTGAAGTAGCCACAGAGGCACCCAAGAAGAAGACAGGCTATTTTGCTGCTCCATCCCAGGTGGAGCCAGAAGATCAATTTGTGGTGCCACCTGATCTGGAGGAGGAAGTGAAGGAACAAATGAAGCAGCGCCAGGAGAATGGAGCAGATCAGGAACAGAAAGAGGAACATGCAGCAACTCTGCCAGAGGAGTTTGACACAGCTTTGTAACCCTACAAGTACTGCTCCCACTCTGTCTGTCCCAGGAAGCCCTGTCCCACAGGGGCTGTCTTGACCTCCGAGGGGAGCTGGGATCTGCAAGGAGTACAGGCATCTGCTGCTTCCTTAATGGAAGAACTGGGGTGTGCCAAGGTCTGAGCTGTTGAGTTTTCACTGTAGCATCCTGGTTGTTCCATGAGCACTCGGACCAGTAGCTCTGTGCTAGGGACCACCTGGGAATCGTGCAGGCACTAGAACGAAGGCAGATGTTCAACACCTGCCTGTAACCCTTTGAACCCTGAGGTTCTGCCAGATCTGCAGCTTAGGGGCTGGCGGGGGGGGGGTGAGGAGGCTGCTGAGGGGCAATGTTTGGGGTCCCATGAATATTTCTGATGCAGCTCCCCACCCCCCAGCACCTGACTTTGTTATTCCTTGAAAGAATACAGCCAGTTGCAATGCAGCTGACCCAAGAATGGTTTCCTGCAGTAATTGAAAGCACTTTTATTGATTGCACTTAAGCTGTTCTGCTCCCCTTCAGCCCAGCACTTTATTATATAGGGTCAGGGGAGAGAGCAGTCCCCAGAAGGTGTGTAGGGGGCTTTTCTCAGTGGACATTGTTAAGGCAGTGAAGGACTCAGGATACCAGTGTTCTGATGAGCACTGGTGCAGGTAGTGTGAAGCTCATGATGGGATCAGGCTGTGTGGGATGAGCTGAGTGCTGAGCAGGTGCCTGCTGATGCATCTCACAGGGACCACAGGAAGATCAGCTCTTGGCTGGTTGATTAACACACACCTGGTTCTCCTCACTGTAAGCACCAGCCCAGCCCAGCAGCACTTTGGCCACCTCCTAATGGATGCTTCCCAGTAGAGGCTTCCTTATCCAGAAAATACGGGGTGAAAGCAGGAGCTTGTGCTTGTTTCAGTGGTACCGTGTCTAAGAGGAAAAGCAGTTGTAAACAGTGGTGTGCTGCTCTAAGCCAGTGAGCAGTGAGGCTGCCCTTCTTATGCTGGGGAAGCATTCAGTGCTCTGTGCCACCAACACAAACTTCTGCATTGTCAGCTACAGCATCTTTGCTTGCCTCTGCAATTGGAGTCAAATTACCCCAAATCCACAGCAACCTGCATTTCATGGTACATGCCCAGTTTGGCCACAGACAAGTTGAAAGCATACTTCTGCTTAGCTTTCAATGCAAAAGGGAAAATAGAACTTTTCACCTTAGTAGCATCCTTATCAGCATTGGAAAAGATATTTTAAACAGTCCCTCTAATGGCAAACAAGCCAGTCTGCATTTGCAGATGCACTGTTTCCATTAGGACTTTTCTTGCAGGCTGTGGGTTGGTGGCCTGTGTAGTCCCCTGTGTAAGGGTTGTGTGCAGACACCTGGCCCTGGAGCACGCAGATCTGTCCTCCTCTGGCAGACCTGGTTAGCAGCTACCCCATCGTGCTGGTGGTGCAGTAATCCTGGCTAATGTGGGCTAGTGCCTTGTCTTCTTTATTAATTTTATTTATGAAGAAAACTTGAGAGTTTCTTCTCAAGAGCTCTGAGAGGCTTGAGTTGCGTATTTTTTGATCAAACTCAGGCCTTGCTCAGAAGGAAATACTGTGCAGACTACTTGTGGGGATTAGACTGACACAATCTAATGGAGTTTTACTGAGATTTCAAAGCACTTTGAATTTCTTCTCACCAGGAAAAAAAAAAAAAAGCATTTTTACCATGCATGAAAGAGCAACATTTTAGGATATACCTTGTGCTACTTACAGTGTAATCATGAAACAACCCAACCTTTTTGCAAGGTTTAAACTCTCACAGATTTTTGCTGTTTAAATGGCTGTTTTATTTGGAAATGAGAGAAAAGCTAATTCTTAGAATGTCAAACAGCAGCATTTGGATCAGTTAAGCAGAGAAACAAGAGGAGAAAACATCAGAAGACTAAACCCCAAACCTCTTTCATGTTCTCTTCATGTACGTACACAGAGAAGGCTCAGCCCAGTGTGTGTGACTGACTTTCAGTTGTCATTGGTGATAATTTTACCAAATGTCTGTGCCCAGCCCAGCACTTGATACCTGACAGGGCTGTAAAGCAGCTTCTGTTCGGTACATGACTGATGCAGAAATACACTCTTCTTTCTGAGTAAGACTGGACAAACCTCACACTAGGAGAGTGGCAGATCTAATGCAAATCAGGTCTCTACTTCTTGCACCGAAGTGGAAAATCACTGATTGTGGAAAACTCCTTACCAGTGTGAACCAGTAGCACTGCATGGAGAGTTGGTATGTCCACAGTGACTTAGTCACGAATGGCTCTACCTAGCTCAGTGGGAAAGGACTGAGTAACATAAAGCTCTGCAATGGAGCATACAGATTTATGAGCTGCACCTCTTCATGGTAGTAGCAGAATGGAACGCAAGGAATTCCTGTGTAGCTTTTTTCTCCGGTGCTGTTTCTGGTTTTGAAGCAGAGTTTAATGCAGCCAGCTCCTATTTCCTATAGGTGTGAATAGTCATGACAGAACATAGATTGTTTTCTTACACTAGGTGGAGTCCAGAGCCTTCTCTGCTTAAGCTGGTACATGAACTGGTTGTCTTACCCTGCGCAACACATCCTGACTGCTTTCCTCTTCCACCACCTTTTGTTCTCCTGTCTCCCTCGAGGTAGTCAAGCTTCTCCTTTTGTTTTTCTCATCTTACTTGCTAATGCCACCTTACATTTCAAGCTCCCTGAGAGCACTGCTGTAGGTGGAACAGGTATGAACGGGCAAGTCTAATGAAGGACTCATAGCAGGGGATAGATAGTGTTTTCCCAGTTCTTTTCCTGTTCTCCAGTCTCTTCCCTGTTTTTTGTTTGTGGTTCTTGCACAGATACATCATGCCCACAGAGACACTTCACTAAGGATGTCCCATTTCTTAGAGAGTTGCCATTGGAGGAGTATTCTTGGCTTGGGGTCATCAGGCTCTCTTGGCTCTGCTGAGCAATGCAGACGTGCCGTGCTCGTGTAGCCACAGTTGGGTTTGGCTGTGAATTCCTTTGTTCATCATGTCAGTAGTTCTGGCTCTGCAGATGACCACACTTCTTGGGAACAGGTACTCTGAAGGCACTGACCTGTCTGGCCTTCCCTGTGCAGAAAGGCTTCCAAGAAAGGAACCCATAAAGATTTTATTGTGATGAGCAGCTGGGGCCAAAGGATTGCAGGTAACGGATAGTCTCCAAGTTGCTCCAGGCACCAGGAATGGGCCTGGTGGAAGCAGCGCCACATCAGGGACCCGATGACAATCCTCAAGTGGATGGGAGGGTAGAACCCTGTTCGAGGAACAAGCAAGTATTTCCCCTTCCCCTCCATGGGGACAGGCTGCTGTGAAGCTGAAATCCTCCTAGTGCACAGGACATGCAGCCGTGCTGGCAGCCCTGGGGGCATCTGGAGCTCCTGCGCTCCAGCAGGCATGGGTTCCTGTCATTTGCCAAAGGCCTCCTTCGGGCAGTAGGTTGACCTCTTTTGTTTCGGGCAATCATTGTCTGCTGTTCTGTTGCTGTCTGAACACTCAAATGTGGTTATTTTCCTCTTTTTTTCACATTTTTAAATGTTACTTTTTTTTAACTTGACTCTCATGACCCAGTGCATATTAAAGAAGTATTGCAGCGCACCACCTGTCTATTTATAATTTTTTTCTTTTTCTTTTAAAAAAAGAGAATATTCTCTGTATCCCACTCTAGCATGCACCTGTAATAATCCCCATTTTTATTGTGTAAGGGAGTAGATTGTCCAGTGAATGCACCTTCAGCACTGAAGCCTGTGTTTGTATTTCTCTGGAGAGACAAATCATGTAAGATTGCTGGAAAACACTATTCCATTGATTCTTTATTCAGATGTATAGAGCAGTCCAGGAAGGAAGAATATTTTTGCATCAACTTTTCAGCTGACTTAGCAATAAAAGAGTTTTTACTTTCATCTAACTCTATATTCTGACTCCATTACTGTGCTGGAGGGAATCTGCAATGCCTCAGTCACACACAGCCATGGTGAAGAGTAGCTGTGCTGAAGGGTCTCCTTCTCTGAGTGCTGGTGCTACTTTGCCCATCAGCCTTCCGTACAAAAGGTACTGGGCAGAATGCTGTGAGGGTGGAATTCATGACACCCATTACTGGGCAGCTTTCTGTGTCCTGCCCTAGGAGTCCTGAGCTGTTGCTCTAAACAGGACTGTAGAGCTCCAGCAGGAGCTGCAGCAGCCAGGAAGTACAGATAGCAGTGAACTGTCCACATAAATCCCTGCACTAGTGCAGGGATGTATTTGCATACCTAGCTACTGAAAGAGTGAGTACATCCAGCTACTAAAAGGGAGGAGAAAGCAAACAACCCCAAGTACTGAATGTTACTATTTAGCGTTTGTTCTACTTTCATATTTCTAATTCTGACAGTGTTCCATGGAATTGGTAATTGTGAGGATTTAGCCACTGGTGCCAGTGATACTGGAGCTCTGTCCAGGACACAGGACGTTTCTGGTATGTTTAGTTTGGTGTTTGGGTTTTGGGGATTTTTTAATGTGGGCAGAACAGGTCTAAGATACCAGTGGTGTATCCACCTTCATATGCAAAATGCACATCCATAGAAAGTGGGCACTGCTCTGAAGTGACATTTCATTCTGAGGCATGATTTTGTGTCTCTAGTGCTCCTCTTTTCCCTGATAAAAATTTCCTATAGAAGTTTTTTTAAAAGTAAAGTTTATCCTTTTTTTTTTATGAAGTGCAAGAGCAGCATGTCATTTCCCCAGCTTGTACATTAAAAATGTATTTTGAAAACAATATACTTCTACCTTGAACCATATCTTTGAGCTCTTAAAGCTTTCATCTTACAATCCCAACATGGGGCATCTTCTTAAGCAAAACTGTTAGACACAAGTTCTGTAAAGGACCATTTTATACAAAACGGTGCCCCCTGCAGGAATATGAAAAGCATCAAATCACATCTTGGGCAGAGTACTGATCGTGTTGCACCTTTTTATTTCAGGGTTGTCTGATGGCTCCATACACACCATGTTCAAGAGGCCCTTAGTTCTAACAGACATGCGGGAAAGCAGCAACAAGATGCCACAACCACTGGCCTCTCTTCTCAGTGAACTGTCCCATGCCCTTTGTAAGGAGCCTCAGCTACAGAAGGGATGTAGTAGCAGTACTTGGAGCAAGACCTCACTGGAGGGAGCAAGGCTCCGGTGGAGGGGAGGGAAAGGCTGTTCATCTGCAGGATGGTCACACTCTGCTATGGGACAGCCGCCAGACACAGACCCTGGGTCTACCCTCATGTCCACTGATAACCCAGTAATGCAAATCTAGGTTAGGGACTGCTTCACTCTCCCATGTTTAGTGTGTGCTCTGGGGCAGCATCAAGAATGCACTGCTCAGAAGTGAAGAAAAGCAGTAAGGAGGTTTTGCCTTCCTGTGTAAGGAGGGTGGCAAAAATCATGGCCAGTGCTGGAGTGGAGGGATCATTCTAACTGCACTGGCTTCTGCTTCAGTGTCCGAACGGCTGTGAAAGCCCTGGCTGCAAGGCCTGCACTGAGCAGGTATGCCATGGCAACCATGCAGCCCCACAGCCCAGCCGCAATCTCTGCCGCATGCAGGCTGCACCTAAAGCCCTGGTAGCCTTTGCTTTGATAAAGCTGCTCTCTCTCTTTGCACACTGATGAATTATAAACCTCCAGCAGAAAGTGGAAGTAGTAGTACAGAGCAGGCACCATGCCCACTGCGACCACTGCATCCAGGGCACATTCTAGCAGCAGCCACGCTGGGAAGCGCCACGGTAACCGCAGAACCCCAAGCGAAAGAAGGACGCAGGAGACGGCCAGGAGACAGCCTCCCACGGCCATCGCTGCCCTCGCCACCGGCAGCTTCAGCACGTAGAAGCGCTGGTCGAGCTCCCGGGCTTTCTCGCCGTCCGCCCCGCTGAAGCCGCTGTAGGCGCCGCCATACTGGTAGTAGTAGATGCCACCCAGGTCGGGCAGGCCGGTGTAGCCGCCCGGGGGCCCGCAGGACACGGAGGCGCAGACCAGGATGAGCACGGCGAGCAGCGCCTGCACCATCTGGCAGCACGCTGGAGGGGAGAGAGAGCGTGGGCACGGGAGCTGCGGCGGCCGGGGCGGTCCCGGCACGGGGCAGGGGGGAAGCGCCTCCAGCGGTCCCGCTCCGCTCACCCCTGCCCGTGCGCAGGTACCGGCAGCGGCGGCTCCACAGCGGTCCCGGGGCGGCGGCGCGTCTGCTCGGCGGCCCCTCCAGCCCCGCTCCGGGCACAGCGCTGCGGAGAGACGGCGGCGGGGATAGCAACGGCGCGCCAGGACCCCCCGTCCCCATCCTCACTCCTCCTGCCCGCCCCTCCCCGTCCCCATCCTCACTCCTCCTGCCCCCCCCCCATCCTCCTCCTGCCCGCCCCGTCCTGAGTCCTGCCCCCCCGTCCCCATCCTCACTCCTCCTGCCCCCCCCGTCCCCATCCTCACTCCTGCCCGCCCCGTCCTGAGTCCTGCCCCCCCCATCCCCATCCTCACTCCTCCTGCCCCCCCCCCCTCCTGCCCGCCCCGTCCTGAGTCCTGCCCCCCCGTCCCCATCCTCACTCCTGCCCGCCCCGTCCTGAGTCCTGCCCCCCCCATCCCCATCCTCACTCCTCCTCCCCCCCCCCCCCTCCTGCCCGCCCCGTCCTGAGTCCTGCCCCCCCGTCCCGTCCCCATCCTCACTCCTCCTGCCCCCCCGTCCCGTCCCCATCCTCACTCCTCCTGCCCGCCCCCCCCCGTCCCCATCCTCACTCCTCCTGCCCCCCCCCCCATCCTCCTCCTGCCCGCCCCGTCCTGAGTCCTGCCCCCCTGTCCCGTCCCCATCCTCACTCCTCCTGCCCGCCCCGTTCCGATCCCGGCCCAGGCTCTTCACAGCCACCCGCCTGCCCAATCCCTCCCCGTCCCGATTTCCCCCCTCCTCCCAAGCCCTCACAGCCGCCTGCCCTTCCCGTCCCGTCCCGATCCCCGCCCCGTCCCGGCCTCCTACAGCCGCCTGCCCGGCCCGTCGAGCCCCGACCCGACCCGACCCGTCCCGCCCCGCCGCCCTCCCGCCAGTCCCCTCCTCACTGCCCGCCCTCCCAGGCGCGTCCCGCCGGCGGGGCTCGGGGGCTGCTCTGCTCCGCCATGGCCCGGCCCGGCCCGGCCCCTCCGCCCGGGCTCCGCCGAGGTCTCGGCGCGGCTCCTGCCGGCCCGGAGGAAGGGCGTGCAGAGGGCGGGACGGGGCCGCTCCCCCGGCACCTGCGCACGCCCCGATCCCGCCCCGCCCGCTCCCGCTCGGGTCCCGGTGCCCCCGCACGGTCTCGGGTGTTTGCAGCCGCTGGGGGCCGAGCGCCGGCGGCTCCGGCACCGGGGCGCCTCTTCCTGCGCTGTGAGCTCGGTGCCAGCCCGGGGCGCCCCGGAGCCCGGGTCCTGCTGCTCTGCTCTGTCCGCAAACCCGAGCCCAGCCGGGTCAGCCCCCGCTGTACGAGCTGCCCTTCCCCAGCTCCCCCGCATCAGTTGCCCCACAGTCACTGGGACAGCAGAACGACTGCCCCTGCCCGGTGCTGTGCTTCCCCTGGCAGCACCCGGCAGGTTGTTGCCGCTCCAGCTTCCCGGTTATGTGCAGCCTGTGCCCCCTGTGGACAGGGAACAGCGCCTTGGGATTTTTCCTGTAGTGCCTCTGCCAGCGCTCTGCAGGCCGCGTGCAAGCGCGTTCCCTTGTGTTTATCCGTAAGGAACCAACCAGACCTGTGTGTCTGCTGGAGACCACTTCAGGCAATACGATACGACCTTCTTGCTGGCTGCCCCATTTCCATGTACAGTCATATCCTGCTGCATGGTGGGACTGGTGCCATCCTGTCCCAGGAGGCTGCTGCCACAGCCAACACCTTTCAGCACAGGCGATGAATTGCTCCTTTGTTGGTGGCTGCAGGAGTGAATGCAAGTGCCCAAGAGCTCACCCATGCCCGAGTGACACACAAGGTCCTCAGGGCCGACTCTAGAAAGGCTGTTTGGCCTGGGAGAAAAATAACTTGGAAACACAGGGACAGCTTGGAAAGCCAGAGTGAATGATTTCATCCAGGAGTTTCACCAAACACTGCCTGGAAGAGCTTTAGGTCTCAACAAAAGAAAGACTTCTGTTGAATTTAGGAAAACAGAAACTTTTCTGGAAGCAGGGTTACACTGTGGGGCCTCAGACACAGCGTCTGAATATGTGCCCTGAGAGGTTCAGATTGGTCAATAAGAGGTAGAAATATGTTTCCTCCATCTGTAAGATTGGTGGCAACACTGAAGTAGCTTCACCCTTCTGTCCTTTCAGGAGCAATAGCAGCAGCCTATAGATTTGATAGTCTATGAACTGCTGTGCTTGTGCACCTCAGCACTGTTGGAGAGCACTCCTCAGCATTTCGCCTGGCTCCAGGAAGAACCAGAGATCTGAAAAGTAACCTTAAAATTCACTTAGTTTGGGGTAAGGGAGAAACAGAACAGAAGTCTTTGTTCAACCCCCAGTTCAGATAGAGGGGACAGGAGCTGTACGATCATGATAAGTTAGGAAATGGGAAGACCAAAGGGAGTTTAGGACGAGGGCCCTGGGGATCGTGCAGATGCTCAGCAGCGAGGCTGTGGCGCACACCTTCTGGTGTGCATGTGTTGATCACTCGTGTTCATGTGCCAAGACCCAGGGCTCCTCGCTGCCAAGGACAGGATGAGCTTAAAAGCTTCAGCAACCCTTTGTATACTTTTAGGATCATGGGCAGTGCCATTTTGCTCAGTAGAGCTTTTACCTGCCATGAGAGGGACGTGAATAACAAAGTTGCATAATCATGAGTCACAAGAGGGGATGAAATAAGTGTTTCATTCATATGCAGGTCATCCAACAACCTGAGCTGAAGCTTTCTTTGGAATTTCTGATGTGCCGGAATTACTTGTTCGAAGACAGAGCTGGGAAGCGCTGCTCTGTTGATTTGGCGATGCATTCAGGTTTACTACAGTGTTGCTGCTAGCAAGTGAGGTACAAACTTCAAGGTGTTGCAGAACTGAGTCAGTCTTATTCCATTTCTGCTGCTGTATGGGGAACTGTCTAAAAAATGCCTTGTGTCACTTCACTCCTGCTCCAGGTACCACAGCTGAGTTTGGTCAGCGCTGGATCCTGGGTCCGTGTTCTCACTGCAGCAGCAGCAGTCAGCAGAAGAGAGAAGGAACTGAGGACACCATCATTAACTTTCATCCTCACTTTGGCTTTTCTTTCATTTATTTTTGGCTCCGCTGTGTCCAGCTGCTCCTAACGTTGCTGCTGCACAAATGGGATGGAACGGCCTTGCTTGGTTTGCCATGGGCCAAGAGCTCTGACCTGGTTCAGTGCCCTCCCTGGGAACTTCGAGGGTGAAGTGGAAGGAACAAGCCATGAACTGCCTCATATTTCTCCAATGTGAGGCAGCTGGGAGCTGCAGCACAATCACTCCTGGACATCACAGCCAGATTTATTGACTGTCCCACATGAATAAATAATCACAGGAACAATGAGCGCAGCATGATGACGATACAGCCCTGCTGCTGAAAAGAACTGGAGGTTATTGTGACTGACAAACTGAACTCAAGTCCACAATGTCATCCTGTTGCGAAAAAAGCTAACATTGCTATGGTGTATAAACAGGAATGTCACATGTAGGACACATGAAGAAATTCCTCTGTTTCCCCCTTCAGAGCTGTTTGTTAGGCCTCGAGTCTTGCACACTGTGTTTCCAGAGGCAAGTGGATCAGCTGGAGGGGATCCAGAGGAAAGCAAAAGAAAGCTCTAGAAATACACCCTGTGAGAAGCAGCTTGCTCCAGTCCTCCCGTTTGACAGGATGGATGTCTCTTTAACACCCTGAAAGCTTGTAAATGGGGAAGTGTCTGAACAACATTCAAACCTGCACAAAGCTGATGTCAAAAGGAAGGGAATCATGTTCTCCCTGTCTGCTGCTGGTGTGGTCAGGAAGCAATGAGTTTAGCTTGAAGCAAAAGGCATGTGATTTAGGTACCCCAAACACCCCCCGATACTTCTCCCACACACCCTGCTTTCACCACTTTGCAAGGAAATGAGCAGTTGTTGCTGCAGAAGATGGGGCAGATGATGGATTTCCATCACTGGGGCTCAAATTCAGTCATGTGAGGGGCTGGGCTGTCTGTGCTCTGAGAGAAAAAGATGCCCGGTGCTGCGCACCCCACTCACTGCAAGATCATGGTGTTGCCTTGCCCCACAAAGCCACCATGCCCTTTTCCATCCCATGTCCATTGGCTGGTCACTGTCCCTGTGGCTCCAAGGCCATCAAGGGGGCAGCTGCCACAACGAGGCATGCAAGAGCTCCAGTCTCTGAGGTCATAACAAACATAGGGTATGCACTTACATACTGTTTACCTGGATGTAAGCAAGCAAAGCGCAAGGCTGGACAAGGTGTCTCTCTTTGCTGTGCCTGTACCCAGGAGCCGTTAACACTCAGGCATTGTGGAACGCTCCTCTCAGCATCTGTAACAGGGCTGCGAGTCTTTCACTGTGGCTGCTGGGCCTGTCACTCCCCAGTGCTTCCAGCTCTCCGTGAACCCGGAGATCACCCTGTGCCTCTCAGCAAGTGTCAAGGAATGTAGTGCCCAGGCTGAGTGTGCAAGGGCACCCAGCCTCTGCACTCCGTCCCTTCCCCGTGCTGCAGTGGTCCATGCTGGGGAGGGCAATGTGGACTGACAGCACAGCCGGGACCAGCTTGTCCAAGTGCATTCGCAGGCACCGGTATTGTGGGAGGCCCACGGGATGTCACAGTCACGAAGGCGTTTGGGGTTGATGTTCCTGGTTTACTTGACAGAGGGACTCAGTGCGCTGGTGCCCTGCTCTGCGCCCAGCGCAGGGCCTGTGGACAGGAGCTCTGCAGGAGCCCAGGCGCTGCCGCTGCCCTGCCCAGCGCGCTGCTCCCTGCGCGGTGAGCACCGTGCTGAGTGTCAGAAGTGCAGTGATCCGAGCGGACCCAGATGCCAGCGCTGCCCATCCCAAAGCCAGGCTCACCAAGGCGGGAGCGCCATGGCTGCTCTGTGCCATTTGCCTTCTAGTGCCTTTCTCATTTTTATTTCTGAGATCAAACGAAAGCCGACCCTAAGTATGGCAGACAGATGAAGCAGACACTGTGCATTTTTGAGTCACTCGGTTACTGGCTTTGAGTCACTGTGTGGATCGTTGTATCTTTGTGGCTCTTCAACGTTTGTGCAGCTTTGCATGGCCTAGCCGGGTTTTTCTTGGAAATGAGTTTCTGCTCTGGTTATGCAAGGAGATGACAGGGGTTGTGCTTTGTTTCAGGTGAATGCCAGGCAATTCAGACTGCTGGAGGCAGGGCCATCATCAGGCTTGATCAGAGACTCATGCAGGTATATGTAGGTTTAGCATAGCAGCCCTGCCCATGCCACAGGCAGACTTAACTGTGAATGTGTGCATTTTCATAGTGGCCTGACCTGTAACAGACAAGGCTTGTCCCTGCACTTCAGGAAACCTGCTCTGGTGTTATAAATATGCTGTGGGAATTGATAGGCAGTCACAAAATTAATGAGAGCCAAGGAGGCTTCATGGCTGTTTGATCTTCTAAATAAGAGATTAACAGTAAATTGATTAAAAAAAAAAAAAGGAAGAAAAAGGAAAATTCACATACTTGGTTATTAAATGCTGATTCAACTGGAAATGCAAAGCCCCAAGGTTAGGCTACACACATATTTGTGGATACCAACCCTGAACTGGGTGGGGCTGTACCAGTGTCAGAACAGAGCAGACAGAAATAGCTGAAACTCAAAGTGTGAGGAGGTAACTAGTGCCTGTTCGTCACTGACCCTGGTGGATCTCTGCAGAGTGCAGCAGGACTCTGTCGTGGAGCAGGGCACATGGGCAAAACTCCACTGATGGATGTCCCACCTGCAGCCTGACAGTGACACAGGTCTGTCGGTGCAGAGATGCTTGAGCCTGTGCTCCAGGTGTCAGTCCTGCTTTGTTACTGTGGCTGGTCTTGGAAGAGGGATCCGCTTGCTCTTGCTGGCTTGGCCCCTGTTCACAGGAACGGGGTTTTGGGCAGTCCTCGTACCAGAGCAAGGCAGTACCAAAGCCACACTGAAGCCATCACCAGTATCTCCTTCCACTGAGAAAAGATGAAAATCCATTTCCCAAGCTACACAGGAAGAGGGAGCAGAAGAGGTGTGTGACCTGTGGGGAGGGCTGCTGAGGAAGAGGAACACACTGCAGCAGGGAGGCTGGTCAGGGCTGCTGGGGTACTGGCATCCTGGCAGCCAGGACAGACAGTGCAGGGCTTGGCCACCTCTGTCACTGCTCCACACAAGGGGTGCTCAGCCAGATTTGTACAATATGAATTGCTGAGCTGTGCACTCCTGCTTCAGCCCTGGGAGGCTCTGTGACCGTGGTGGGCTGCAAACCTCTTGTGAGAGCACCCAGGGGTCTGCAGTCATGCAGAGACGAGAAAGGCATAGTAATAGCAGGAGAATCATGCTGACCCCACTGTACACCCCTGTCCTGCCCCCTGCTTCTGGCCAGGAGCTCAGCCTTATGTAACTGGGTCTATCTCTGTCTCCAGAGCTCTCTTGGCAGCCGGCTCCGTCATGCCCTCCCCTGAACCCCACTGCTGTGTGCAGTATTACGGTAGAGCTGGTTGCATCAGCTCAGGGTTGTTGCTAGGCAGAACATTCAGCATCGTCCTTGAGGCCTCCCAAAGCCACATTTAACCCTGGCAGGGCTGCAGCATGGCAAGAGATGGGAAGGAAGAAAATAACCCATAGGTCCTTTGACAGGGCCTGCACGGACTTCTGAAGGTCGCTCCTGTCAGGCTTCTGTAAAAGGAAGAAAGAAACTAGTCTGGACCTGTGCAGCTTCAGCACAAGAGCCTGTGTGTGAAGAGTGTTGGAAAAGTGCTGTTCCTTACCCAAAGCCCCTGGGCTGGCTGCTGTGGGGGGGCTGCACCCACCACCTCCTGCTGCCCCAGCCCAAGCCTCCTGCAGCCTCAGCAGTGCCTGCTGCAGCACTGCTCAGGGTGGTCACTGGAGGGTCACAGCTCCCACATCACCCCAGTGCAGAGGGAAGGGGCCACTGCTGCGCCTGGGGAGGTGCAGCCCTGTCACTGGTGTGGTGAGCGCAGGTTGAGTGCAAGTGGTGCTTCCTCCAGCCACAGGCAGTGGGAGGAAACAGGCAAAGTTACAGTGACCGCTGCCCTCCACAGAGAAGGCATCAGTCTGTTTCCAAGGTTCCCTCTTGTCCCTGAGCAGCTCTCTGGTCTCTGCCCATTTGCTACCAAGTAAGGGAGGACCTGGAGCAGCCCTTGGGAGACAGGAAGGGTCAGATGCCTCTCATTTATCCCAGGCCTGCAGGAGGCAAGGGACAAGAAGGCATGGATTTCACATCGCTTAGCAAAAAATGGCCTTCTGGGAATGGTGTCATCTGTGCTTTTGCATCAGAAAGGGAAGAATTGCATCATTTCTGTTAGCTGTCAAAATCAGGAGTTCACTTGGATCTTCCAAAAAAAAGAAAACCCCACCAAGCCCATGGCAGCTTGAGCTTCCTTTAACTGTTCAGGTCCTGCTTCCTCCAAGACACCAGCTAGGGAGGTGCCTGTCTCCCTTCAGCCTATGGAGGAAGATGTCTCCTGTTGTAATGATGCCACAACTCTCCTTTCTCATCTGGTGCATTAGGAGCCCAGAGCCTTTGAGATCAGGACAGACTGATGTCTTCCACAAGCTTTGGGGTCCATCAATTCACTCTTGGTGCATTACAAGATGCTAGGGCTGGGCTACCTGGGCTCAGTGCAGATTTGCCCCCACAGCCTTTGAGTTCTGAGTGAAGTGGCGCTGAAGGGGACAACCAGGGCCCCCAGGAAGCCAAGCCGCATCCCTCTTCAGCTGCTTCCCGAAAGAGTTAATGCACAGGCATGTTCTGTGTTTGAACACAGCAGCAATAGGGAGGAGAGGGTGGTTTTGGGTGGGGAGAGCAGCCCTCTCTGGGAGCCAATGGCCAAACGATTCGGTCCTAACGCCCAGTTTTGGGGCTTATTTCATGGGCAAGAATCTGCAGGAATTTCTTCTCAAAGGGACTTGTCCTGGATCAAAAGTAGGGACTGGACCCCCAAGCTTATTGGTGGCTCCCTCTTTGCTGAAAGGTAATGTGCTATGCTCTGGTACTTTTCTTCTTTCAGGGGGAGAAGTGCGGAGATCTTGCCTATGTCGAAGGCACCCACTGTGCCTGTGTCGGCAGCTCCCCTTTGCACAGGAACCATGTTGCAGGGTGCTGTGAAGGCTCTGCTGGGATGGGCTCTGCGCTGGGCATGTGGGACTCAGCCCTGCTGTTGAACTGAGATATATGGCTCTTTTCTTTGCTCAGTTTTTATGCGGCCCTGCTGCATGATTCTTCAGCTGCCTTTCTTTGGTAGAAATGAGACCCAGAGGGTGTTAGGCATTAGCAGCAGAGAAGCTGAAGTCTTGCTTTGTGACCCTATTAGATGAGCCTAAGTGGCCAGAAGCAGCCTAATGAGGTAGGTTGGCAGAGTAACTGCAGCAGCATGGAGCATCTCTAGGTACAAACTTCACTGAAGCAGTGAGAAATTTGCTCAGAAGGCAAATCCCACCTGGATCAGGCAATGCTGCAGCCCTTTTAGCTCGGTCTCTGCCTCAAGTGAGAGGTAACTGTGTTGTGAATATCCGAAAACATGGGGCTAAGTAACTACCATCAGGAAAGGTTCACTGTTCACTGAATTGCCTTTCAGTGGGTAAGAGAAATAGTGTGGTACAGACAGCATAAGCAGTTTGTGTCAGGATTGCAAGATAGCATGCCAGTATCAGCAAGAATGGCCTTGGTGGCTCAGGAAGCCTCTGCATGCCCCTGTGCCTGATACCTGACCTCCTGCAGACAGAAAGCTGTATTTGTAAGCAAGACTTTTACTGGTGGGGCAGGCTCACGCTCTGGGTACACATGCTGTGGTGTGTAAGTCATGTTTGTGTGCATTTTGAGGCCTAAAAGGCAGCTGTTCCTCTGCTGTGCCTTACTTGTTTCCCAGTCTCAGTCAGGGCTATAGGCCCTTTACCTAGGTCAATGCCACCTCCTTTATTTCCCTCTTGCGTGTACTAGTCTTGCACCATTTTCTAAGCACTGTGTTTTGATCCAGGGTCTTGGGACTGGGCTATTGCTGTGCTGACAGAGGCAAGTATCTGTAACCTACACCCTGCCACTGCCTGTAGCATCCTGATTGATAGCACTGGACCAGAACTACCTTTTTAGCACCTGAGATTTGATTTAAACAGTGCTGCATTTCTGTAGCAGACTGGAGGGATGTTCTGGATGTGTTTCTTAGGGTTGAAGTGTGCGGGCTGATAGCAGAGGGAGGAGGAGGATGTCCTGGCCCTTCTGCCAGTGGAACATTGAGTCTGCAGCCAAGCGGCAACTACAACATGCTGTTAACACTCGGACAGTAGCTCTAGTGGGGCTGGTTTCTCCTCAGCACAGCAAGTCCATGCTAGGCAGTGGTGCATTTAGGACAGAGAGGTGCCTCTATCTTTCCCACTGCATAGTGCTCTCACATTTATGTAGGGTTTCACTCCATCCTGGCCCTGAATATTGCCCTACTTGCTGCTGCTGAGCTGTCCATAGGCAGTAGGTAGGGTCTGCAGCTTTGAGAAGTTTTTCTTATGGAGAGCCATGGGCTGTGTCCCCAGATGGACAGATCCCTTGTCTGGCACGTGTTAACTAAGCCCAGGAAATCCACTTCACACTGACAGCTCTCAGGATGGACTCGTACCTGATCCAAGTGAACGGCCATGATGATCATGGAGACCACGCTATGCTGGACGTTCATCTCAAGACCAATGGGAACACCATACCTCTGGGGAAGGCGAAGGGCCGGAAGCCAAGATGGGCCGTCAGGGCTTCTGAAATGTCAAAGAAGACCTTCAATCCTGTCCGAGCCATCGTAGACAGCATGAAGGTGGAGCCCAACCCAAAGAAAGCCATGATCTCCTTGTCCTTAGGTGAGCATAGTGCTGTGGCTAAAGCCACCGGGCAGTGGGGTCCGCTGTGTGGCTGGCAGACTGGAGGGCTCTGAAGCACAAAGCTTGTGCCAACAGCCAGAGGCAGGCCAGACAACCACACAGCTCTGCCTGTCACACACCAGTGAGAACTTCGCTGTTTTTCAATCCTGAAAAGGGGACCCAACGGTGTTCGGAAACCTCCCCACAAACAACGAGGTCACACGGGCTGTGAAGGAGGTTTTGGACTCGGGACGTTGCAATGGTTACGCTCCATCTGTTGGTAAGTTGACAGAGCTCTTCCTGTGAGAGTGGAACGAAAGTGTGTGCCAGCTCCCTTCCCACAGCAGGTACCTGGGGCCCACAGACACCTTTCCAGTGGCACCCTGCAGCTGCCCTCTCCAGTAGTTCCATGCACACACAAGCACACGTGTGCCCCAGATGCACCTGAGGGCCCATCCGTGCGGGGTCTGTCTGAGGCACAGAGCCTCCTGCAGAGGCTGTGTTTGCCCCCACCGCCATTAGGGCAGGCAGAGTTCCAGGCACGCAGAAGGGCTCGGGGTTGCAGCTACGTTCCTTTCTGATCTGGCACCACCACACAACGTGAGCCCTGTTTGCACACAGCGCAAAGAGCGCCTCAGAGCATAGCTCACGGGGCACTGTGGTGGCAGGGCGGCTGCCCCTGTGCCATCCAGCCATCACTGGGCACGGAAGGCCATGCAACAGCCCTCGGCCTCCCGCTGGCTCAGAGCAGCTCCGTGGCTCCCCTCCACCCTGCTCCTGTCAGCTCTGTGCCAGGGATGTGCTGGCGGCAGAGCCTGCCCCTGCCCGGGTGCGTCCCTGCGCTGCCCTCAGCCTGGGGCAGCGTCACCAGCGAGCGTGTTTCCGCGGCTGTGAGCCTTGCTCCAGCCATGGGAAGGAGATGGTTTGTTAAAAGCTGCCTCGTGCTCGGCTCCTCTCTCCCCAGGATACCAGTCCTGCCGGGAAGCCGTGGCTGCATTCTATACCTGCCCAGAGGCACCGCTGGAGGCCCAGGTACCAAAGCCTAGCCCACGGCCTTACCCCACAGCACCCTCCTGCTCCCATCCCTGCCCTGAGCCCTTTTCCACGCTCCCCAGGAGGAGCTGAGCTTCCCGTCTGTTGGGGGTTTCCTGCTCTCACACAGGACTTGTCCTTTTGGCTGAGCAGCTTTCTGCTGGCGCAGCCTGGGCACCGCGTCACCGGGCACTTCGGATGGCCGTGCTTTATGCTGACCCCCGTGCTCTTTGCAGGATGTCATCCTAACAAGTGGCTGCAGCCAGGCCATAGAGCTCGCCTTGGCAGTGCTGGCCAACCCAGGCCAGAACATCCTGGTGCCACGGCCCGGCTTCTCGCTCTACAAGACTTTGGCGTTGTCTATGGGGATTGAGGTCAAACTCTACAACCTCTTGGTAAGTGATGGCAAGCCTGCAAAGGGTTTCTGCCTCTCGGAAATACCCTGGCGCTGCCTGGGAATTGAGCGAACATGCCATGCTCAACCCTGGGCACTCTGTCCCACCTCTCCTCATGTGGCAAGTCCAGTTCCTCAGCTGTTGCTTCCATTTCTCTTCACTTCATTAGCCAGAGAAGGCCTGGGAAATTGACTTGAAGCAGCTGGAGTCTCTGGTGGATGAGAAGACGGCTTGCCTCATTGTGAACAACCCGTCGAACCCCTGTGGCTCTGTTTTCAGCAAGAGACACCTCCAGAAGATCCTGGCAGGTGAGTCTGCCTGTGCACATGTGGGCATGATTGCCCATCTCTCAGTCACTGCAGCATCATGGCTAAAGGGCTTTGATTCTCAGTTCAGGACTGACTCCAACTCAGGAAGCAGGCCTTGTTAGTGTGAAAGTGTTGCTTTATCCGGGCAAGAACATGCAGAGTGTGTGTCTTGCTCTTCCTTAAATGCTCTGTGTGGCTTGGATTGCTCATTTCTCCACTCTGGCTCCACAGTGGGAGCATGTTCATAGGGAGCACTATGCTTCCCAAGCCCTGGCCTGTTGATGGGAGGCTGTGCTGCCTGCTCCCAAGGCAAGAGCAGAACTAGGCTTAGCCCTCACAGGGATATCCAGTGCCTTGGCTGTCAGGATACACTGTCTGTGGGAGGAAGACAGCGACCCTCTGCCATGGGACAGAGCTTCCCTCAGAGCTCAGTCAGCCCTGCAGCAAAGGGCAAGCGTGCTCCCATGGAGGATGCAGGGTGGCCAGGCTGAATGCCCTCTCTCCCACAGTGGCATCAAGACAGTGCGTGCCCATCCTTGCTGATGAGATCTATGGAGACATGGTGAGTGTCTGGTGCAGTCCTTGCACCCCCATGCTGCCTGTCCTTTCTGATGCACTGCCCTGTGGCTGGCAGCCAGGTCTCCAGAGGTGAGTGAAAACTCCCGTCTACGGTGCCTGGGTCCATGCCTGGAGCTCCCAGTCCTCTGATGCACAGTCATGAGGGTATGCCTCACGTCCAGCTCCTTTCCTTTTCCCAAATGGCTCACTTTCATGTGAGTGCACTTAACTATGTTCATACCTCAAAGCTGTGAGCTTTTACCATCATTTTCCCATTGCTTCCCTGCCTACCTGCTTGCTGTGCCTCATGCACACCCCTCTGCTCTCACAGCGAGAGGCAGGGACAGCCCTAATGCAACCTCCCATCACAGGTGTTTGATGACTGCAAATTTGAACCCATTGCAACCCTCAGCACCAATGTCCCAATCTTGTCCTGTGGTGGCTTGGCAAAGCGGTGGCTTGTCCCTGGCTGGCGCATGGGCTGGATCCTAATTCATGACAGGAGAGACATCTTTGGTAATGAGGTGAGAACTGCAGAGTGTTGCTGTCACTGCACCAGACCTGCAGTGTCTTCAGTGTATGGATCACCAGGGCTTGAATTGGTGCAGGCATGTACTACTCTTACATGGGTGTCACCCAATTGTTTATATGCTTTTCTGCACCTCTCAGCTTCTCATGTCCATCTGCTCCCAAACATGGCCTTCTACTCACAGCTAAGCTGTAACACACTCTTTGTCTCTGCTGCTACTTCGTCCTTTTTGTGTCCTTCTAATTCCTTCTTTTCTCAAATAGCTTCAGTCTCCACTGGAAGTATTTCATGTATATTGCATCCAGCACATGGAGTCCCTCTATGGTCTCTATGTGCTCTTATATGGTTTGTCTTAAAAGTAAGAACAAAGCACCTGGCAGTACTGCCAATGCTTTATCCGCTTCTTTGTTCAGCTGTGTTCTAACAACCATCTGCTGCAGTGACCTTTACACCTAGAGGGCTTTCTGCAGAGGAAGAGGGAGAAGAGAGGACCAACTGAGTGAGCAGAAGAGCTTGTTCCTACCTGGCTTTGAAAGTATGGATTGTGGGCCCAAACCTAAGGGTATTTGGACCAGCTCTGGCTTCATTTGTATTAGCGCTATTCCAGCCTGGTTTGAGTCTGATTGGAAAGCTCTGAAGGTTGTCTCTGTTTGCATTAGAATCTGCAACTCTGGAACAGAGAACGACACTGTAAATCCTCTGCAAATACCCAGCATATAGTCAAGCAGACGTTCGGTAGTACTCTGTATGCTCACTGAAGGGAGGGGTGTGAGCAGCTGCAGCAATACAGAAAAAGTTGCCCCTTTCCTTCACCAAAGCACTGTCTGAGCTGTGAATATCACTGTTTTTTTCAGATCAGAGATGGACTTGTAAGACTGAGTCAAAGGATCCTAGGACCCTGTACACTTGTCCAAGGAGCACTGGAACGTATCTTGCATCGAACACCCTCTGAGTTCTACCACAACACCCTCAGCATCCTCAAGGTAATCGTGCTGTAACAGGCCAGCCCAGTTTGTTCATGGATGGTTTGGAGGGAGTCATGTCCCTCGAGCTCATTATCCCTCCCCATGCCACTTCAAGGTGCTGTTTTGCTGTGACTAGGGGAGCCCAACAAATCAAATTCCATGGTTAATTGGGGCAGAAATACTGCTGCAATAAGTTTTAGGCATCCCAGCCCTGCAGCTGGTGACCCAGGGTGGGTGGAAGCCTGGCACTGGCTTGCTGAGCTCAGCACAGTCATACCTCTTGCACTCAAGGCCATGATCACCCATGCTGTTTGCACTTGTGCTCCCTTTATTTGCAGTGGGCAAACCTGTTTATAGTCCTGGTCCAGAGCTTGGCTTCTATTCGCCAAGCTGCTTCCTGGAATTTCTCCTGTTTTGAAATTTCTCCTTTCTGCTTTTCAGTCCAATGCTGACCTTTGTTATGCTGCCTTATCTGCTATCCCTGGCCTCCGTCCTGTCCGGCCCGCTGGAGCCATGTACCTCATGGTAAGCAAGGAGGGTGACATGCCATTTCCAGATCATCAGCACTCACACTAAGTCTTATTTCCAATCCTTGTCAGTGCTTTCAGATTGGTCCTTAGCACCAGGTCTCCATTACCATGCATTTTCACACTGCCCTCTGCAGTAGATGTGTCCCTTGGTCACTTTAGATGGCTGGACTATGTTCTTCACTTCTCACATAGTAGAAGCTAGTGCACTTCTCTCACTTGCTCCTGCACAAAACTCAATGACTTGTACTTTGCAAGACAATATTGTTTTACTCGGATTTGAAGCTAGCTGGCAATGGGAAGCCCCCACACCACAAGTCAGATTATCGTATGTCCGGTTAAAGATGGATTCTTCTTCCCACCACCACATCTGTCTTCTGCCTATGCTGTTGCCTCTTTCTCAGCCTTATATTCTAGAGGTCCCACATCATGAGCAAAACTGAGGGCAGACAGCTGCACTTGACTGGGAAGTTGCTGGGTCATGTGGATGAGCGGGGACACTGGTTTGGTGCCCTTGGTTGTCATGTTACATCACTCTGCTGCAGGTTGAGATTGAGATGGAGCATTTCCCTGAATTTGAAAATGATGTGGAGTTCACGGAGCGCCTCATCTCAGAGCAGTCTGTGTTCTGCTTGCCAGCCACGGTGAGCCTAACGCTGAGAGCCCAGGGAGCTGTGGGGCCAAAGCATGGGCAGGGAAGCAATAAAGGTTTGCAGCCCTCAGCTATGGGGCCCGGATGGGAGTTGTGTGTGCAGTGTCCATGGTCTGCAATGGTGCGTTTGTGCTGGTTGTGAACTCCAAGTGCTGTGTGTAGGGATGGGCCTGGGTACTGGCAGCCTCTGTCTCACCAGTAGCCCTCAGGCTGTCAGGATCTTCTCAGCTTCAGGCTTCCTCTGTATTTCTCAAGCTGGCAGAGAACACTATGCTCCTGAACCCTATGTACCCCCCCACCTTACTGCTCCCTAAGAGGACTGGGGCTGCTCCCACCTATGCTCCTTTCTTTGCTGTTTTCAGTCCTGTGCCCCTGCAGGCTGAGAACACCTGTCCCAGTGCCCACTTCCTTCCAGCTCCCCTTCTTGCGCTGAATATGGATAAGTCCTTGGGTACTCTCCAGCCCTATCCTTCCCTAGCTCCTTCCAGCCCATTCCCGGGGTCCTGCATAGTCCAAAGGACTCTGTATGGCCTGTCACCCTTGCAGCATCATGTCTACACAGATAAAGATGGGAATATGCATGGAGCAAAAAAATCCCAAAACAAACCCCCCAAAAACCCAACCAACAAAAACAAAAATAAACCAAAAAAAAAAAACCAAAACAACCAACCCCCCAAAATACCCCTAACCTAAGGGAGCAATAGCCCAGCCCTGCTGTCCAACACTGACCATTTTCCCTTGCTGACACAGTATGTCGCCTCAAGTCAGGGCTCTAAAACTATAGCACTGTCCCGGGTGATGTGCCAGCTTCATCCTTTCTCATTTCAGTGCTTTGAGTACCCAAACTTCTTCCGTGTGGTGATCACCGTGCCTGAGGAGATGATCTTGGAGGCCTGCAGTCGCATTCAGGAGTTCTGTGAGATGCACTACCAGGGTGCTGAGGGGGCCCAGGATCTGGAGTGTGACAAATAGCCCCAGCTCCCCTCCTGCCTCTGCCAGGCTCAACCTTGTTTTAGGCAGCAGCCGGGGAGGCAGGGCTGCTTCCAGCCAGCCCCACATGCCCCTGCCTGCAACAGCCACTGTCCTGTTGCTTCACTTTGTGCTCCTCAGACCCTTCAGCACTCTGGGAAGAAGCAACCACTTCTCTCTGCTCCTTCACTGCAGCTTGCATACCCTCTGGCACCCGGTGCCTTTGGTCAATACATCCACTGCGTTTGCCTCTGTGCTGGTCTGTGCTGCCTGTGAGCCAACTGCAGGCAGAGCCTGTGCCATGGCCCTGCGAGGCCAGTGTGCTTGGCTGCGCTTCCCTGGGGAGGACAAGAGAAGAGCACCCATCTCTAACTTACCCATGTCAACCTTCGGAAGCCAGAGCTCTTTATACTGAGCCCTTTGTGCGACAAAGGGAGTAAGTTATTGTGACTTTTTTTATTAATAAACAGTCTGACGCACCAGCCCCTGCACTGTGCTCCTGTTGTGCTGGGTCTGGGGGAGCACCCTTGCTTGCCCCTGGTGCTGCGGTGCCCAGGCCCACCTCTGGGGTGGAGGGCATGCTCAGCCCCTCAAAGGCACCCAGGATGGCCCTCAAGCCTGGCACAGGGGCTGGCTGCTCCTGCCCACTGGTGCCAGAGGCTTGCTGCGACAGCTGGGCCCCTCTCCACGGAGCCAGCTGTGCTGGATGCTGGTGCCTGAGTGTTCAGGGCCAGGACAGCTAGGCATTTCCTCCTGCAGGGGTGAATCACTGGCTGGCACGCCATAAAATGCTCCTACACTACAGAGTGCTTGTGATGTGCCAGCATTTAGTCCCTTCAAACCTTGTCTGTGCTTGGCCTCCACCCTCCATTAACTCTAGTTTTAGCAGAGCTGTTTTGTACTGTTTTTTAATAGTACAAAAAGGCTTGTGGTACTCCTTGGAATTGCAAACACATGCACAGAGACCATGTTTCTCAATTGGATATTTCAACCGATTGCCAAACACATCAGCTCCATAAAGTAATAAGGAACTGGTGGCTTAGTGTCCGTTCATCCCATGGAAACAGGAGGAGTGCCTGTGCAGTCAAGAGATGCCAGTGCCCACCTGGCAACCTGTTCTGGTGAGCTGCTCAGGGGGCTGGGAAGCCCCCTCTGAAACTTGTTGAGGGGTGACAGGCAGAGTGCAGCCTGCCACCTACAGCTCTGTTCACCTGGCCTCCTGCAGAACTGAGATCCATGGGTCAACTCTGCCTTCCCAATGATCGGAACAGTGAGCTAGCTCTAGACTGCACACTGCCAGACCTCCTGCCAGCCTCTGTAGACATCTCATTGCCTTCTCTTCTCCTGCCCAGGACAAGGTCTTGGTACCAGGTCTCCATCAGAGCAGAGGTACCTATATGAGAAAGATAACAGCGTATGGAAAGGTCATTGACACATCAGCTGAGTGTCCATACTACATCCTTTCCCTTCAAAGGGAGCAATCCCAGAACAAAAAGAGAGAAGCTAGGGCTATGGGTGAATGGTAGACATCTTCAGAGATTTTGTGCCATTAGATCTCCAAACAGAGCCAAATAACCCAAGCTGTTTATGACAAAACATTGACAAATACAAAGTAGGGTGGTGTGTGAAACATCTGTGGAGGAAGACCTTTACAGCATGATGTTGTTGCATTGTTATGATGTTTTGCATCTACTACAGCTGTTAAGTTTCATCTGTCTCCTTGAACTCTTCTCCATGTATCTTGGGTTCTGTGACTTCAATTCCCATCACTAATGAACAGATGCTGTTTTTAGAGAAAACTGCTCCTTTCGGGCTCCTCCCTCTTCATAGGATCACAGAATCACCCAGCTTGGAAAAGACCTTTGAGACCATCAAGTCCAACTGCTGTCCCAGGACTGCCAATTCCACCACTAAACCACGTCATTAACATTATAATGTCCAAGTCATAACATCAGCCATGGAGCCCTTTCAAAGTGCACTCAGAGATGTCTGTTGACATGCAAATATTCTGCAATGATTAACACCACTCCATTTCTTCTTAGCCCAGCAGCCTTTGGCCAAGGACACTGATAACCAGATAAGCAGGCATAAGCATAGCTCATAAATCTCAAAATATTTAGATTTCTCAGAGCCACATCCTCTATTGCCATGATTTGCAAACACAACACTGCCTTTTGACCACACCTAGGTTTTTCTCTACTGCAATAGCAAACTAGCATTAAACCACAAATGTGCTGGTAAAAGCTTCCAGACATTATACTCACTGATGCTATATGTCATAGTGTGGGTGTCACATAGAGCACCCTGCCAGCCACACAAACTAGCCTAAGCCGGCATTTAGAGGTGCTTTGTTTTAAAGAAAGCCCCTTCATCACTGAAACCATGGAAGAAGCCAAGACACGGGTCTGGAGCTGCTCTTCCTCAAATGCTCAGACAAGGTCTGAAGGGCTTTGACAGACCTCCCTCAGTGCCTTTTTGGCTGATTGTGGGAAAATAACAGAATATTGCTGGGGAAGGTTTCCTTTAATCTGCGGATGTGTGGTTGTTCCTGTGTCCTGCCTGTGCTGGCTCACACACAGACCCACAGCCATACTCCCTGTCTAGCTGGGGAGCATCAGCTGTGCCCCCTGGAGCAGGCTTGCAGGGTGAACCTGCTCTTCTCTGCATGGGACTGGCCATATTGAGGAGGGTGACGTACTCAGACACGGGGACCTGGGCAATGGGGCAGCCTCGTGCCTGGTGCTTGGGAAAGGAAGGAACTTCTCAGCTCACATCCAACCCTCAGTGTCCAAAGTCCCCGCAGCAGGGCCCAGCCCAGCAGCACAAACGGGCACTGCAGGCAGGTTTGGCCAAACCACCCCTGCCAGCAAGGGAGGTCATCGGCTCCCCAGTGCCCCAGGAACCTGGGTGCAGACCAGCACAGCCCTGGCCCTGGCCTTGCCATCTCTGTCTTCCAGCAGCCCTGGCTGCCTGCAGGCTGCAGCCTGAGCAGCCCCTGAGCATCTTCCTGCAGTGGAGCCATGGCCCTGGGCCATGAGAGCCTGGCTGAACCGCCCTGCCCTGCACCAGCGTGCAGCCACCCAGCACCTGCACAGGGAGGATGTGGCTGCCCTGAGCGCACCCAGGACTGTTCAGCCAGGACCTGGGGAAGCAGGGCCCATCCTCGGGGCACTCAGGTGAGGCCCACACACGGCTGGGCTGTGGGACAGTGATGAGGCCTCAGGGGATGGTGCCTGAGCAAAGCTTCTTTGTACATGAAAGCTGCTGTATAACCTCATCTTTCCAGGGGGCACAGGCCTGTTAGAGGTCAGATGAGCTGCTCTATTCTGGAGGCATTACCCGTGAGGCTGGAGGACAGAAATGCTTGGCACAGGGCACACCTATGTTTCCACAGGAGAACAAATGGCTAGGGAGAGACTGTGCAAGAGGAGGCAGCAGGAGTGTTCTGGGAGACAATACCTGCTGGGAGGGACTGGAAGGGATATGGCAAACCAGACTGTGAGAGGGCAGAGGAGCTCTGGAGGAGAAGAAAGGCTCAGAGCAGGCAAAGCCTTGCTACTGACAGGGCAGCCACAAAGGACAGAGCCTCATCAGGCTTCCAGAAGCTGGTAGGCACCTAAAAGCTGGCTGACTAAGCTTAACAACTGGTCAGAAGAAGGTTGGGGCTGTATCTTCTATACTGGCCTTCAGCCTGGGATCCCAGCAGTGGGGAAGGCTTCTGAGGGGCAGAATCCCTGGATCTTTCTTATGTTTTGGCTGTCTGGCATGGGCTCTCACAGTGCTGAGAGCACAGACCTACATGACCCCTTTGCTTTGTCAGGTATTGTGCTCCCTTAGCTTAGTTGACTTGGGTCAGTGAGCCGTGAAGCCTTGCCAGAGCAAACAGTTACTGTCAATAGGTCTGAATGACATTTCCTGGTGCTAGCATAGGGTCTTCTGCACTCTAGTGCATGGTGTGGACTATGCAAGTTTCAGCTCTGCTTACTGCTGTTGCTCCTCTCAACTCTAGACTAGCTATTCAGTGCATTATGCTTCAGTGCATGTGCTGATTTCTGGCCTTAGACTGTAAAGAAGGCAGAAGCTGACCAGTGAAATTAATTCAAAAGCTGAATAAATAAATTTATTTTCTTATCATTTTCTTCTTTTCTGTTATATGTGGTAAAGTATCATGGGACCTCTCTTGCAGGCCTATCTGCACAGGGCTCCAAGCTTCTTTCTTTATCTCCTGTTTTCCCATTCCCCCACCACTTGAGATATTAGAGTACTATAGTATAATGAAGTCAATAAATGAGTGTTGCCACTGCATTATTTTTTAAGACATGGGAACAAGATCCAGCAAGGCTCTTCCTGGGTTATGGATCCCTACTTTCTGCTATTGAACAGACAGCTCTAGGGCAGAGTGCAGCCATGGTCAAATACCTTTTTATGTCATTCCATAAAAAAATTGAAAAGGCAGATAAACAACAGTAAAATCAGTTAGTGCATGGGTTGGTAGTAAGGAGAAAATAGTGATATTAAGAAAACTATCTATCCCAGTTGAAACCAGGACAGGGTAACTAAGCTCTTTTGAAAAAGAATTACTTACAGAGATGTTTCAACTGCAAGCAGATTAAAGAAGGGAGGGAGCTGCCTGCCATCCTTTCTCTGGCCTACTGCAACTTTGGGTCCTCCAGTGCCAACTCAGACAAGTCTATTTATCTCAAACCGCTTCTAAATCAAAATACAACTTTAAAACTTACCTTCAATACAAAAGAAAGGCCATAGCAATATGAGTGGAGGACCTCATCAGCCTGCCCTTGGAGAGATGTCTCATATAGGACATCATATTTGTCTCATTTTTCCTTGTTCTGGAAGCCACATGGGGGTCAAGATCCGCTTTGGCTTGGGAGGAACTTGCCCTGGCTGGAATTTAGCACAGATACTGCACCAATGCATTCTGGTGCTTGCCTGACTTCTGTGTTTCCTTTCCATCATCTATAAATGATGATTTGTGAAGCAACTAGAGTGACTGTATACAACATCCTTGCCAAACAAGCTCTTTCCGAAAGCCAGAGTTCTGCTTTGTTGCCTTCATTCCCAGAAAAGTGATGAGCAATTGACACATGGACTTCCTTTTTTTTTTTAAGATTCCTGTCAAGTTTCTTTTCTGCAAGGAGCAGGGTTCTCCTTGTGCATTCCAAACCACAGATATGCAGAAATACTCAAAATCCAGTGACCAGTACAAGAGATCATGCATGGCTCTTGTGTGAGCAGCCACATGGAAGCTTTCTGTCACACTCAATCTTGCAGAGCCATGAACTTCCATCTTTCCTCTACAGCTTTAGTGTTGCCAGCTAGAAAACACCTGAACTCTGTCTCCTTTGAATGGGAGATCTCTTTCTGTGGCAAGCATTTACCAGTGCTCAGTGATCACACTGACTCTCATGGCAGCTCCCCGATGTCATACCTTTGGGATGCAGGAAATGTGAGCCATCCCACCTAAC